TGCCAACATTACTATACTCGGTAACCTCAGCACTATGGACATTTGACCAAAATTTGTCGATAACTAATCCATTACACCATTGCGGCCAACTAGATCCCCTTAGACGCGAGTGGTCGTTCTTTCCAGCTAAGAACCGCTGTTAATGCTGTTTACAAATGGAGGAGGAAATAGATGGCGTAAGCAATGGGAGTTAAGAGAAGAAAGGAAAAGAATGTGATTAAATTTTATTCATGAATTTTTTGATACGTAAAGATATTTATCTAATTAGAGTACAGAAAAGTTCGCTTGGTATTTTAGAGTCCTTGTCGAGATGTCTTCGGATGGGGACGACACAAAAGGAGCCTAATGTCAGGCGCAGGCCGTAAACCGACAAATTGATTGGATAAGCTGAGGACAATAAAATTCCAGCTATACTTCGTCTGCCACCAGGCGATTTAAGTTTTGCGCGTTATTTTCCAACATCACATCCTTAACTTGTTAGTGACTTGCTTTCTATTTACCCTTTTGAATTCTTCGCCTGTCTCCTTATTATTTTCCTCTTCTTACAAGTATCCGCTTTGTTAACACTGGCGTCTTTTTACGGTGACTGAGGATAAACAATTTCGTGGCTACCTCCTCTTACAAAATGGCATCCATCTTGCCGATGTGTTTCTTGGATACAGGCGGCGCGTTTATTTTGACGGCAACTGCGACGCCTATCGCAATGATTTACACATTCTGCTTCGTGAAGAAATGCCGTTAGTCGCTTCTATGTCGCCTGAACTCCAAGAGAAATGGGAGAAAATGGAGATGGGTCATGTTCTTATCGAGTACCGACCGGCCTCGAGTCGTAGCGCCTCAAGTGACCAGGAGCAACAGGACAATACTTATGATGTGGTAGTAAGCTATCTTGATATTTAGCCCTCCAAACTGCCCGGTCTTTAAATTCACTATTGTGCCATCAAGATATAGGCGCAATCCCCGTAGCCCCTATGAGCATTTCTCTGATAGGTTACAGATATCGTCGACGAAATAGCTAACTTAGCTTCCGCTGATTAAAAAAAATTAGGAATCGTTT